CAAGTCTTTTACTTTCTTGGTTAAATTTATTCCTAGGTATTTTATTTATTTTGTGATGCAATTATAAATGGGATTGTTTTCTTAGTATCCTTTTCAGATAGTTCATTATTGGTATATAAAAATGCAACTGATTTCTAAATATTTATTTTGTATCCTGCTACTTTACTAAATTCATTTACTGGTTCTAGTAGTTTTATGGTGGAATCTTTAGTATCATGTCATCTGCAAATAATGACAGTTTTACTTCTTTCCAATTCGGATGCTTTTTACTTCTTCTTCTTGTCTGATTGCTGTGGCTAAGAATTCCACATGTTGAATAATGGTGGTGAAAATGAATATCTCTGTCTTGTTCCTGATCGTAAGAAAAATGATTTCAGCTTTTCTCCATTGTGTATGATGGTAGCTGTGGGTGTGTCATATATGACCTTTATTATATTGAGTAATGTTTTCTCTATTCCCACTTTGGTGAGAGTTTAGTTTTTTTTTTTAATCATCAATGCTTGCTGAATTTATCCTTTCAGCATTTATTGACATGATCATGTGATTTTTATTTTTCATTTTGTTTATGTGATGTATCACAATAATTGATTTGCTTATATTGTACCAAACTTACATACCAGGAATAAATCCTACTTGATCATGATTTATGATCTTTTTAATGTGTTGCTGAATTCAGTTTGCTAATATTTTGCTGAGGCTTTTTGCATCTATGTTTATCAGGAATATTGACCTATAACTTTCTTTCTTTGCAGTCTTTATCTGGTTTTGGAATTAGGATAATGCTGTTTTCATAAATGAGCTTGGGAGTCTTGAATTTTTTGGAACAGTTTGAGAAGGATAGGTATTAGTTTTTCTTTTAATGTTTTGGAAAATTCACCTGTGAAGTCATTGGGTCTGAAACTTTTGTTTGTTGGGAGGTTTTTGATTACTACTTTACTTTTGTTCATTGTGCTCAATCTGTTCAGATTTTCTCTTTCTTGATTCAATTTTGTACTATTGTATGTTTCTAGGAATTTATCCATTTCTTTCAGATTGCCCAACTTGTTGGCATATAGTTGTTTGTAATATTTTCTTATAAAATAGGAAGTTTTTTTTTTTGTTTGTTTGTTTTTTAAGATCACTATGAGCTTGAAGCAAGCTGGAGCACAAGTGACGTGGAGCACATCACTTCTGGAAATCATGAAGTGCTCTCCATCTCTATTTCAATGAATCAACAAATTTCCACAAGAAATTTTGAAAAAATACTGCATTTTATCATCAGAAGGAAACAATTTAATTCAATGTAAATTTATTGAGTGCTAACTCTTGGACAGCTATGATAATTAATGGTAGGCTTACAATAATAAAAAAGACATTTCTGACTCAAATTGCTTACAATGTAGACAGACTCTTAAACAGGAAGCCATGATGCAATGATAGAGTAGATCTGACTTATTTGTGAACAGATTATATCCCTGTGGTCTTCTTACCACTAATTCCTTGACTGGGAGTGATAAAGTGCAGGGGAGATGGTCAGGCCCTGATTTACTATCCCAGATCTGCCCAGAACAATTTGTTACGCCATAATTTTGCCTGCATTTCCCACCTCCGGATCCCAGTCATATTAATAGCCTAATAATTTACCTTACTACTTTGTAGAATTACCCAGCTGCATGCAAACTCAGTTCTCTAATTTATAGAATTGGGCTCTGTCTCCTAACTACCTCTGTTCCTGGACCCTCATCTCAACATTAAACTTGACTCCTACCCCTATTTATCCTTAATCATTGACCTTGTCCTCTTCTCCCCACATCCATTCGAAAATCATTTACTCACATCCTGCCATTTTTGAATCTGTGGATTTCAGCAAGATGTAACTGAAGTTAAAAATGGGAAAGCACGCTTAGGAGGTGCATCCTGGGTGGTTTAACCCATTAGTGAAAATTGCAAAAATAAACCAGGATCCAGAAAGAACTGCAGGTGGCAGTAGAGGAACAAGCATACTTTCTGGTCCTGGTGCAGAAGAAAACATACAGGAGTTCTAGCCTCACTCCATTTTCTCCCACGTTTGTATTATTTTCTCTTCATGTTTCCATTTCTTTGCTTTTTTATCCCTAATTCACCCATTAATCTTATACCTCTTATTCTCTTTCTGCATGCATTCCCAATTGCTTTCGAAGGATATGTGCAAGCAGAGATATTGCTAGTTGTTTTTTTCCTACATGTCAAAAAATAGCGAATCTGCCATTCTTTGCCTTTTCACCCATTTAAGCCTTATTAAATAAATAGGCTCTGGGAACTAATAAACCAAGGATGTTCTCTGTCATCTTTAATACAAAAATTATAAAAGTAATACTGGGTGGGTAAAATTTGCAAAAAAGTGATTTTAGAGAATTGCCTGTATTTTTAGCCTGTGGCTAGCATATTTAAATAACTTTCTCAGAAGTACCTATCCAACTGAGAATCAAATCTGCTCAGCTGCTTATTTTTGTAAATAAAATTTCATTGAAACATAGCCACATTCATTTGTTTATCTATAGCCTATGAGTGATTTTGCACAACAGTGCCCATATGGAACAGTGCTGATTTAGGAAAAAGGGAAAAGAGAGAAGGTGGAATTGCAATGACTCAAAACTTTTTTTTTGGAAGAGGTACATGTCACTTTCACTCATATTTTATTGGCTAAGCAAGTCATGAGACCAAATCTAAGGAAGGAAGTATATTACTCCTGCAGGGACCTCTGGGAGGGAGAGGCCTGGTTAGGACAATTCAGAGAAAGCTCAGACAGCAATACAGTCTAGTACAGTGACTATTCAGCTTTTGGTAAGGGGTTCAGTTTAAAAATGATGACTTCTACAAGGTCTTAGGACAGAAAGGCTAATAATTTTTATCTTCTCTCCACTTGAAGTATATCAAACAGTAAGAATTTTACATTAAGTACAGCCTCAGAATTCTAGGTGGTCTGGGGATGGAAAGGGACCCTTTGAGCTTGTAGATTCTTGGCAAGACCCCCCAATTTGCCCTTCCCCTTCTTAGCAGCCACCCCTCCCCTTCCACTCTTTGCTTTTAGAGTCTGAGGAGTCATCTCACTTGTTTCCCTGTGTCCTGGTTCCAGTTCCCTAAGAAGGAGATTTGAGCATAGGTGGTTCACCTGGGGAGTTCTCTCAGCATCGCCAGCTTGGGGGAGGGGAGGGCAGGGAAGACAGCTGACTGTGGCCCAGGCAGTGCAATAGCAGAGGCCTGCACAGGTTCTGCAATGCTAGGGGGAGCTCTGAAACTCTCCAGGTCTTTCTGAGCGAATGAGGGGTCGGGTCAGGGGACCAGGCATTCAGACCTCTATGTTGACCAGTCACAGAAGGGGGTGGGGTGAGCCCAGGAAGGATGTAAAATTGGGCAAGGGAGTTCTCTTCATTCTCTGGAAATTCCTGGCGGGGGTGGAGGGTGGGTGCCAGTGCTCAGTTAAAAGCTGTCATGCCAGCAGCTTGAGGCCAGAGCTTTGGTCCTGGAGAGTGGGATGAGGATCTGACCAAAGCAGCGCAGCATTTATCACACCCGATCTACTTCAGACACCTTTAGAAGAACAGTACTTGGGATGCTCAGGTTATCCCTACTGCCTGGATTCTCATCTCTACTCTCTAACATATCCTTTTCTGTTTCAATCACCAACGCTTGCCCAAACCTGGAAATCTTATCCCTGCCTCCTTAGATTCCCAGACTCCTACTATGCTCTTTGAAATTCACAGCCTATCACCAGCACACATCTCTACATTTGCAAATTCTTCTCTCATCCTGCCCTTCATCTTGTTGCTCTAAGCAAGGCAGAGCTCTTCCCTGAGGCCACTGCTTCCCCAGCAGACTTTTTTTTGGTTTAACTTTATTTATTTATTTATTTATTTACACACAGCTCTATCCTCTTAGACACAGATAGGTGCCTTCCTATTCCCCACTCTGCCAGTCCAGATCATACTCCTTCCATTTCTAATACTCCTTGCTCCGAATCAGTCTCCCTTTGAGAGGAGTTGCCATCCGCTCCCCCTCCTTGTTGCAGATCAGTGGGTCATTCCCACTCATTCCTCGAAGAGTTCCACTTCCTAGTGAAACTTCATCATAAGTACCTACATAAAGGATGCTTTTAACACAGTGGCTTCCCAGTTTTCTACCTCTCCTCCTTGAGCGGCCTTGAGCCCCACCCATCATGACATTCCCCTTGTTCATAGTCTTGATCTCATTGTTACTAAAAATTATATTTCACTCAAAGTTCTATTTTAAGCACCCCGCTCTTCGGCCACCATTTTGATCTCTCCAATTCATTTCCTATGGTATCCTAATTCCAATAATTCTTGAACCCCTTTGGGTCCTCAAGTGCCACCTTTGCTCTGTCCATCTCTATGCTGCCAAGAATCCGTGGTCCGTGCTGCACACTAAATCAGTTACATTGCTCCTTGTTTCTCCTCACCTGATAAAAAGTCTAACTTTTCATCCATTGCAGTTGGACAAGGCTTGAGAAAACCATACTTTTTAAATTTATAGACTGAGTCAATTTGGGCTGCTAAAACAAAATACCACAGACTGGGTGACTTATAAATGACAGAAATTTATTTCCCACATTCCTGGAGGCTAGAAGTACTAGATCAAGGCACCAGCATGATCACTATTTGGTGTCATCCATCTTCCTCATTCATAGGTGGCACCTTCTGATTGTGTCCTCACATGGCAGAAGGAGAGAGGGAGCTCTCTGGGGTATAAGAGCCCTAATCCCATTTATGAAGTTTCTACCCTCATGAGCTAAGTTCCTCCCAGAGGCTTGACCTCCTAATACTATCACATTAGGTATTAGAATTTCAACATATGGATTTTGCTGTGGGGACACAGACATTCAAGATGAAGTCAGAGAGGTGGCTGTGGACCAGATTACATTGGGGCTTTTGGGTCATTATAAAGACTTTCAATTTTACTTTGAGAGATATGGGAAGCAATTGAAAGGGTTCATTTAACCAAAGGAATAATGTAATTCAACTTACATTTTAAGTAGCTCAGTCTGGTTGATCTGTGGAAAATAAATTGTAGAAAGGTATAATTCAACTTATATTTTAATTGGCTCAGTCTGGTTGTTCTACAGAAAATAAATTATAGAAAGATGAGCGTGGACGCAGAAGAACAGTTAAGTGATTGATCCAATATAGTCCAGAGGGTATAGTTGGAGGTGATGGGGGTTGATGGGATTGGAAGTGTTTTGAAAATAGAGTCACGAAGATTTAGTTATAGATTGGATGTGAGCTGCAATAGGAGAAATAACTCAAAAATGATTCCTAAGGTTTGGCACAAACAACTGGATGAATTCAGTTGGTATTTACTGAGACGAGGAAGAAAAGGGGGAGAAGACATGGCTTATTTAGGGGAGCGGATACATTTCTGTTTTGGAAAACTTCAGGTAACTTCCAAATAGAAATGTAGGTTATATATATGTTTGGGGTTCAGAGTAGGACTAGATATATAAATTAATGATTCATTGGCATATAGGCAGCATTTAAAGCCAGCAGGCTGAGATCATCAAAGGAGTAGTAGGTAAAGAAAAGATCCAAGAACCAAGCACTGGGATCTTACAATATTTATACGTTGGCAGGAAGTAGAAGATTCATCAAAGAGGCTGAGACTGAGTAGCAAAGGTTGAAGGAGGAGAGCAAGAGTATGTTGCCCAGAAACCAGGAGAAGAAATATTTCAAGAAGGGAACAATGGTCAAATGTGTCAAACCCTTCTGATACGTAAGATAAAGAATAAAAATTGATCACTGGCTTTGACAATGTGGGGTCATAAGTGACTTTGATGAGAGCAGAGAAATGATGTAGTACCTAGAGGAAACTGTGACGACAACAGAGATATTTTAAGATGGAAGCATATGTAAATGCTAATAGAAATGATTCAGGAGAGAAAGAAAAGTTGGTAATGCAGGAGAAAGGGAGATAGCTGCAAAATTGAAAATGCTGAGTATGCAGGAGGAAGTGAGATCTAATAATGAACAAGGACCAAATTCATTATAGTAAAAGGGATGGCAAGGCTTATGGCTCCGGGTGCAAAAAGTTAGTAGATTTGTTGACAGGGATTTTATTTTTTTCTCATTGAAATAAGAAGCAATCATCTGATCTTGAGGAGGGGAAGGGGTTTGAGAGGTTTGAGAAAAAGAATGTGTAAAATCGTTTAGGAGAGTAGACTTGATAAAAATGCACAACAGGGAACATGGGTTAGCCTGTTGTTTGTGGTCATGATTTTACAGAATAACCAGTCAGCATGATTGTGGTTTCCTCTAGGCATATTCAAGTGCACAGGGGCAGGTGAGGAGTAGTAGTGGTGGTGGGGTGTGGGGGTGGCGGCAGAGAGGGAGAGAAAGAGAGAGAAAATTTGTCAGACTTGGTCAAGGTTGGAGTTTTTCAGGCAGTTAGGACTAAAAGAGATGTAAATGGAATTGAGGGTGTCTGTGCAGGAATGCTTATCGTATTGACCATGAAATTTGAGCTGAGTGTAAAGAGAAGTGAAGATGCGAGCAGGGGAATGAGCAATGAAAATGAGGTGCCGATGGGGTCAAACATTGGTGGCGTTGGGGTATGAGAGGGAGTGAGCTGACGGAAGCAGAACAGTACTCAGGATGCTCAGGTGCTCCCTGCTCCCTGGATTCTCATCTCTATTTGGGACGCTTGAAACTGGGATTTTGGATGGGATGCCCCTGTTGGTAATGACAGGGACAAGGGTGTGACCATGCATAGGGGTGTGGCCAAGGTGAGATGTGAGACAATCTCCTTGTTGAAGAGTTAAAGATTGGCAGGCTAATGAGTTGAATGTATTTCCTATTATATGGGGCATTGAAATTCCAAGAATTATGACAAAAGTAATTAGAGAGAAAATGAGTTCGATCTAAAATCTTCACTGAATTAGAGGCAGTGACTGTGTGTTCTGTCGACAGCTACAATAATTAGAGGTTGCAAATATTTCCTAATACTAATTTTATGAGGTTGGCTATTTCATTCAATCAGTGTGGGTCTCGGTTTATTTTTCTAATTATAGGGAAGTCACCTTTTGTTCTAAATTCTATGTATCTGTCAATCTATCAAACCATGTTTAAAACGTCTGTTAAGCTGAGAACAGTTGAACTATAAGTATTTCAAACTTCTTGACATTATAAGGATATCTATCTATTTCAGACTGTAATGTACAATCTTGCTACTTTATAGGATATTTTCTTTTCTATATTAAATGTATTAGAGTGACATTGGTTAATAAGATCAGATAGGCTTCAAGTATACATTTCTATGATTCATAAAGATATTTTCTTATAGCTAAAAAGATAAATTAAGAGAATTTCTGGGTTAAAAGAGGTGGGAGATAGGGAAGGAGAGGCAAAATTTAATTCTACAAGTGTCTATTAAGTACCAACCAGGGAAATCCAGGGAAATTTAGAATTAATGTTGTTGCAGGTTTTACCAGGGAAAATTGCATGACTGTTTATGAAATGAGCCAACAAAGTCTTTGCCATCAGAACTTTAATTGAATGAACAGTCTCACATATCAGAGAGAATTCCCTCACTCTTTCATTCCCACTTAACCCTGTGTCATTTTTCTACCAGAGTACTTTTCCTTTTTTTTTTTTTTTTTTTTGAAGATTTTATTTATTTATTTTTAGAGAGAAGGGAAGGGAAGAAGAAAGAGAGGGAGAGAAACATCAATGTGTGGTTGCCTCTAGCATGCCCCACACTGGGGACTTGGCCCACAACCCAGGTGTGTGCCCTGACTGGGAATGGGTGACACTTTTGTTCACAGGCCAGAGTTCAATCCACTGAGCCACACCAGCCGGGCCAGAGTACTTTTCTTATTGTGACATAGTAATTTAATTTCTTCTCTACCACCCTGGTCTGGAATTGGGAGTGCCCCAAAGGAAGGCTTGTTTTTTGTTCATTCATCTTTGCATCCTTCTTCAAGTACAGGACCTAATATAAATAGCCACTTGATCAATATCTGATCAATGCAGGGTTGAATTATTGAATCCATGAATGGAAGCAGTAGCTACTCATTTATTTGCTTTACCATCTATTAAAAAATGACTATCTTGTAGTTTGTAGTTACTGTATACTTAGGTGTTTGTAAGTAATATTTAAACTATATATTTGAACTACATTTGAGGAAAATCACATGACTAGGTAGTTTGTTTGTTTTGCTAAGTACTTTTATATGGTTGCTGGTTCCTACTGAATGCCATTTCCTTTTTACTCCCAGTTTCCATTGTATCTTACAAATGTGCATGGCAACATCTCTCCTTGTACAGATTCCTTCTGATTTGAACTTGCTTCCCACCAGCAAGGCATTTGCAGTATTCTAGGCCTTTTGGAAACTGGAACCAAGAGTCCTCAAAATGTTACAAGAAGACTTTTGAGGAATTGTGTTTCTTTTTGGCCATTCTTTGCAGAGGTTCTGGACTGTAATCTCCCACATAGGATTTTTTTTATTATGTTTTATTGATTATGCTATTACAATTGTCCCAGTTTTTCCCCCTTTGCCTCACTCCTACCAGCATTCTCCACTCCCTCAGGCAATCCCCACACCATTCCCACATAGGATATTGGTGTGTTAGGGCAAAAGGTGAGTAAAAGGAGCCTCACTGTTTTTTTTGTTACTGATGAAAACCTTTTTTGTAATTTTATCACATTTATAATTGGAGAATAAACCATTTGTCCCAGACCTAGAAATAATCAGTAAGCTTTGACATAAACTCTCTCTTCAGACAAGCCAGACCTGTTCTGGACGTCTCGGACGGGGACAGAGGCCTCCCATGTGGAGCAGCTGAGACTCATGTGGAGGTTGAAATCATTCACTGCCTCACCTTTGCCTCTAGATCATTGATTTTTATACTTTTTTACCTCATGGCACACCAACTTAATTATTGAAATTCTGTGCCACACCATAGAATATATTTTTTGCCAATCTGACAAAAAGAAAGAGATATAATTTTGATATATTCACACTGGATGATTATTATTGTGTTAGCAGTTGTCATTTTTTTAATTTGACAACCAAAGGGGAAAGAGGTCAGTGCCCTTGACTAAATAGTCAGGTACTGTGTGTTTTAAGAATTCTTGTGGTACACTGGTTGAAAAATTGCTGTTCTTGTGGGCTCAGAGACCAGAGGCAAGTCACTTCCCTCTATGGACCTCTCTTCTTATCTGCAAAATAAAGCGCTTGACTCAAGAGGGCCTGACTGTTTTTTTTTGCCACCTCTATCATTCCTAAAATGCTCTGGACTTTTTCTTTTTCCAGTACCAGTTGTTCTTTCAGCTCTAAGTGAGCCCTGTCCAGCCACTCCCTTTTCCTCTTGAGATAATATTTTAGTTGAAACTCCCTCAGTCTCTGCCTCAGTCCTGTGGGGTTTTTTTAGTTTTTATATCATTGTTTTCTTGTTCACATCTAATCTAGGTTGGTTTTCAAACCTTCTGGAGAAATTAAAATCGAGTTGGCATACATTTACTGAGGTAGTAATCAGCGCCACACACTGGGGACCTGTACAGGAAAAAACGGCTCTGTCCCTCAGGCTCACACAGCTTGGCACAATTGCCACTTCACTCCATTGTTGCAGATTCCATTTTAGAGACCATCAGTGTTAGTGAGCATTACTTCTGTCTCCCACAGGGGAATTTTATTTATGCCTTTCCTAAAGGATGTAAGGAAGTTACCAGTAGCTATAAATACAAATGGAGATGAACATTTTTCTCAGTTTCTTTGGTGCAAAGATATTACGTACCTTCTATCAGTATTTTTTAAAAAGATTTTATTTAATTATTTTTAGAGAGGGGGAAGGGAGGGAGACATACAGGGAGAAAAGCATCAATGTGATAGAGAAACATTGATTGGTTGTCTCTTGCACATGCCCAGAACTGGTAACCAAACCCGCAACCCAAGCCTGTACCTTAACCGAGAATCAAACTGGTGACCTTTCCCTTTGTGGGACGATACCCAACCATCCGAGACACACTGGTCAGGGCCCTTCTATTAGTGTTAATTTGGTTAGACTACTTCCATTTTGCAGAATTGTTATCTTGCTGTGATATATTATTTAACAACAGGAGAAAACATTATACTAAGAAAGAAAGCAGGTCCAGTGAGCTGTGTGAACCTGCAGTGCTGTCTGAGATGGAAGGAGAAGGCCACTTGGGTGTCTTAGCTAAGTTGCTGTTGCTCCCTCTAAGAATGGGAATTATTGAATTATTTTGCTGACATACTGTTAACCTATTAAAGATTTTTGAAAAGCAAAATTTTAGCGCCACCTCTGTTCCAAGAGAATAAACTTTATTTGAGAACAAAGGAAAATTGTCTGTTTTCACTCCAGGAAAGAGTTGAACCAGAGTGGGGACTGGCAAATGGCAACTTCCTAGGTATCCACAGTGAGGTTCATTCTGTGATCTGATAATAAAAAAGTCAGAATAGTCCACGGCCACATATTTCACTATACGCAGAAAAATATATCCAAGGAAAAATTTCAGTGATTTTTAAATGGCTCTCACCTCTACTCCTCTCCATTATCTTAAATATTAGATAATTGAGAATATTATATTTTAAACACTTTATAGTTGACATTTGATTGGTTACTCATTTTTGTTGTGTTTTTTAGTAGTTTTATTGTCTGTTTATTAATTATTGTTGACATTCATCATAAATGAATGATACTATGTAGAAAAACTGTATCAACTTCTTATAGGATTTAAAAAACAAGAAAAATGTGCTTGCTAGTAAACATTATTTAATTAGAAAAACTGTCATTTTGGGAAACATCTTTTTAAACATTTGTATTGCAGTGACAGTGCTTAATAAAATTATATAGGTTTCAGGTGTACAATTCTAAAATAGCTCATCTGGATATTTTGTTGCGTGTTCACCATCCAAAGTCAAGTCTCCTTCTGTCACCATTTACCCCCCTTTCCCTCTGGCAATCACCATAGTGTTGCCTGTGTCTATGGGGTTTAGTTGTTGTTTTTGCTTAATCTCTTCACCCTTTTTTACCCAGTCCCCTTGATACCCCCTCCACTCTACCAGCTGTCAGTTTGTTTTCTGTATCTATGAGAAACACATCTTTTTTTTTTTTTTTTTAAATGTAACTTATCCCAGCTGTCTTTTACCACTGTCTTTGAGCTCTTATTTCCTTTTCTTGAATCTCTGGCTCCTAGAAAGTAGAATATCATTTTGCTTACTTTTGTGTTCTTTCCAATTCTGCATGCCTGACACAAAGGTAGCATATAATAAATGCTTGGTTTTAAGCCACGAATTTTAGAAAATCCTTGTGATATACACAATTAAGCAAATTATTGACCTATTTGGTATTCAACAAGAGAGGTAAAGTGACTTGCCCATGGTCATACAGCTAACAGGTGGTAGGGCCTGGATTCAAATTCAGGAAGTGTGCTCCTAGAATTCCCCACATATAGTCAGGTGTCTGAATTAGGGCACCTGTTTCTGTCTCCCCTCCCCCCACAACTGATGTTGCTTCCTTTCCCTTAGTCACCCGGATTCTTACAAATGTATCTGCATCTCCTGCATATAGCCCATTTGCTGTGGGGAATGGATTTCATTTCTGGCTACTGAAATGGAACATGTAACTTGGGTCTACCCCAATGATTGCTTCTCATTTCTTGGCCAGAGCTATTGCATTGTGGATGGGCAGTAAGCCTATAGACCATGTTTGCTGAGGAACTGCAGGGAGAGAGCTGTCCTCTCTCTTCTGGAAAATCCTTGGGTAACTAGCTTTTTTTTTTTTTTTTCCTCACTATCCTTAGGTATGAATGGAAACATAGACCAGGCACTTGTGAATAGCCAAAATAGGACCACTGAAAGTGAAGCAGACATTGCCAAGGACAGGTAGATGCAGAAATAAACCTGATCTTGGTGAACAAGTGAGTCAAGTCAACCGTGAAACCAATCCTACCTCTAGCATTCACTCTTGTAAGCCATTAAATCTCTTTGTTTAAACCACTTTCAAGGGTTTTTTTTTTTTCCTTTTTTTTTTTTAATCACTCAGTGGAAACTATCCATGGCCATAATTTGGAAAGAAGATTCTATCTCTTTCTCAAAAACTATCTGGTTAGGGATTTGACCAGGTACAGCTGTTATGTTTGGAGAGAATTAAATCTCAGTATTTAAGAGCTATGTGATAACTAGTTCAAGCTATATTTACAACTCTATATTTAAATAAAACTTAAATGTCAGGTGCCTGAATAAGAATATAAAAATATCAGGACCGGCTGTTACTGCAGCTGAACTCAAATTATGGCTCCCTTAGTGAGAATCAATACTTTTCTTTTAGGCCAAACAGACTCCTACATGTACTTCCAAAGGACAAATAATAAATGGCCAGAGAAAATATTTTAAAAATACCTCCACAGAGGATAAAAATTAGGGAAAAAAATACTGCTTGCCTGTTATAATTGTTGGAAAAATCTTCCTTTAAGCTCCTCCAATGTAGGACCTTGCTTCTCCCCCAAAGCAAAGCCAGTTAAAAAACTTTTAAAGTGGAAGAGTCGATTACCAGTGATCATAAACACAAATTTAAGGATAAAGACAAACTCCAAAGATTTCAATGGTCCTAAACTTTGAACTAGGAGAGCAGTGCTTCTGTTGGTACTAACAAAGCCAGGGAATGAAATATCTTCAGAATAATGGTGGGTATATTGATTTATCCTATTAGGAAACCTTCAAGACCCTGTTATTCCAAGGTTCCTATTGTGTTTTCCTTTTTCTTTTTTCTTTTTTTGTTTTGACAGATTTTAAAGGCTTAAGACTTTTCTTTCTGGCTTGGAGTTCTCTCACCTCCTACTCATTTACCTCCTGGCACTCTACCTTAAACAAACAGAATTATAAGATGCTTAATAAAGTTGGGAAGAAAATGGTGATTTCCTGCTTTTGTTTCATCTGTATTAGAAAGAATAGAGGGTTCCAAGCCACCGAATATAATGGACACAATATCCAGAGAGGGCTGCATTTCAACAATTCACTATAAAGAAGAATGGTTTGATTTTCAAGGTCCCTGGAATATAGATAGCTCCAGCTCTGGTTGCAAGTCACTTGCCTCTAGCAGGCATAAATAATTGTCAACTGATGGAAAATAAAGCAGGTAATCTCTAGAAATGCCTGGATAAATTAAAATGAAATCCAACGTAAGGCTTCAGCCCTTAAGGCCCTATTGACTACTGTGTTCTCAGTCAGCTGGTAAGATTTTAATTTATTTTATTATTATAGTTTGTGACAAATGTAACATAAGTCATCCATTTTTGTACATTAATCCACTCCTTCATAAAAATAGCATACATGATGATGACCTACATTAAAGTAATTAATTATCTACCATATGTAAGATTGTAGTGATAATCTATAACTAATATATAATAAAAAGTTTGTAGAAAATTAAAATATAAAGGATTAGCTGCAGAAAGAAATATCAATCTTTAAATAAAGGGTCCCCCCCATATATTGAACTAGTGTTTTATCCACTTGAGCCACCTAGTGGTGATATCCATAAAATATGATTTCTCATACTACAAAATAAGATAAAACTAAGTTTCCAACTTAGTGCGAGTGAATTGGGTAAAAAATAAATCATAACCATTGTATATATTCAGATATTTAAATTAATATTTACTTATTGGTAGGTTGACTATTATAAAATAAATTATAAAAGCATAATTTTTTGTTTATTTTGTTTATTCTAATACAGGCCATTTAACCAAAAAAAAAAAAAGAAAGAAAGAAAGAAAGAAATACAATAATCAATGAAGGGGAAGGTTTCAATGTATATTGCAAAGAAATGGTTATCAAATTTTTAGTAAACTAAAATGACTAATACATTTTAGAACTTACCGCATTCAATTGTAGTCTTTGTTTAGTGGTCTTGGGTGTAGGTAGTCCTGTTTTCCAAGCCTGTCTTCCAGCTAATCATTAGCCCCATGTTTTCACATATTTGAAGAACAAAAGTTAATCATCAATCTGCTCAGTGGTCCATTAGAAACACTTCACACTGAAAGTACATGGTGGCTAATTTTAGATTTCTTTAACTGGGAACTGCAGTTTTCATGTTGGCTCTGTTCTGTAATAACTTCCAGCAGAACTGAATCAAATGCTTACTGTTAACGTCATGTGTCAAAATCCACATTCATCTTTGCCTTGTTAACTTTTAAGGGTTTTTTTATTTGTTGTTCCAAGAATGTCAGGTTCTTTGGTTTCCTGCTTTCTTAAATTGCCATATGTTTCTAAATAGGTTCTTTTTTTTTTGATATCAGAATTTGTACAAAAAAATGTTAGATTTATCCTCTTCAGATGCACAGAGCTTCCCAGTTGGTACAATTGTAAAGCTATAATATGAAATTGGCAGTGAAAATATTCTCTCTTTTGAATGATTCTGTTTCTCTGAAATCTTCCCATCTCATCTGTGCTTTCCTTAGGTAAGCAGGAAACAGGTTGTTTTCATAAATAGTTCCTAGAAGCAAAGATGTTTGGAGGAATGAAGAGTGTCAGCTTGAGAGCAGATGAGACCTTTAAGGAGTGATTGAGCAGAATCAAAATGAAATAAGCTCGAAGAGATGAGATGCTTCCCTGATATATAAGGCATCAGGGAGATCTGTGAGGGGATGAGGCATTTGAGGGAGGATTCTGCTGTGAGCAGATGGTGGATGTCTATTATTTTGCCTTTTATTTTTTTCTGGGAATACCATCTCTCTGGACAGAGCTGAGGCTTTTTACATACAGCCAAGTAACTTGTTCAAGTGTATCAGGGAAAAGTGCAGGTCTCAGAGCCCTGAGAACCAGGTAGATAATGATCAGGAGAGCCCACTAAGACCCAGTGTGGACAAAGATGAGATAGGTAACCCCATAAAAATCATGAGATACTGAAAGTGAGCCCATGTGCGTGTGTAAAGAATCCCAGGAGGATATGGAATTTTCATCTACCCTAGAATGCTCATTACAGACTATCTATGTTTCCTTAATTTCTTTTATCACCATTAAAATTTCTATCGTGATGACTAACTATTACAAGTGGGAAGTACTAAGATACAAAGGTTGGGGCTGATGCTAGCTGTATCAATACCGGCGCCTGTTATGACAGCTGCCCTGTTTGAGTAAAACTGTCCAGTGTACCTTTTCCTGAGACTTTTGGTCCCATGCACCCACATTTGGTATCGGGTGACCTACCTATACCCATCCTCATCGTTACTCCTACTCTTACCTTTTTAGATGAATTCAAATTTGAAACATGCCATGTTCATGAATTAGCAAATTCCAAAATGAACTTCAAAAACATGTGCTAGACTATAGTAGAGTAAGCAAACCCATCCAGACTTGTGGGGGAATAGGACTTTCCTTTGTTCTGATTGTACTTTTGATACAGAGTGGCAGACATCACCTAAAACTAGGGTCTGCCTGTGTTCAATCTGGTTTTGGTTCCTGTCCCTCTTCTCACTTTTCATAGGCTATTTGAATAACCTCATTTACTGCCATGGTTTTTGCTCGCACCAATGTGCTAATGACTCCCAAATTTACATCTCTATTATTGAATTCTTTCTTGAACTGAACACCTATACATCTAATTGTGTATTAAACATTTCTTTTTAGAAGTCCTATGGAAACCTCAAAGTCAATGTATCTAACAACTAACTCTTCCTGAATTCTTCATTTTCCCTTGGTCAGAGAGTGGCATTACCATCTACTTGAAGCCAGAAACCCATGAGTCATCAGTAACTTCATTTTTTGACACCCTTCCCATCCATCTTATCAGTCGCTATGATATTTCCAGCTATCTCTTTATTATATCTCAAATGCATCTCTGTCTCTCCATCTCAACCCCTATGTCTTTAGTCAATATTATAATTTCTCTCAGCCTTGAGCTACTCACCATTGGGTATCATTCTCCTCCCTGGAATTTACTTTCTAAATTAAAGATCTCATAATGTCACTTAAAAAATCTTTTATGATTCCTCTTGCCAAAGAACAGTGTGTTCTTCTGTATGGCTTTTCTAACATGATCTTTAGCCAATCCCTTCCAACCAGTCTACTTTTCAGTTCTGCAAGTTGCTCCCTCCTGCCTCTCTGTGCACAGGCTCTTCCTTCTGTGAGTACTGTCCTTACCACTTCCACCTGCCCAGCTTCACAGTGCAATTCAGCCACTTCCTCTGTCAGAAAGCCTTTCCTAACCTTCTTACTCTGTGAATATTTCCACTATAACACTTATCACACTGACATGCCATTATCTGCTTACTTCTATATTTTCCCAAATATGTTGTAAATTCCATGAAGCTACAACCAGCACCTGGATATTGAACGAATAAACAAATAGAGTCTTTTATTCTACTAATAAGCTCAGAGATGAATAAAACCATGACCTACTTGCTCATTACTTTGTTTGGAGTTTACTTTCTGGGCAGCATCAATTCTGAACTAGTAAACCAGAAAATGAAGATGGCAGTGCAATAGCAGTATTGTTAAAAGACATTGCAAAGGAGGAGCCTCCTGCCTTAATCCACCCACTTCTAGCAGAACAGATTGGTGGGTGAGAGAAATAAAGTGTGGCAGCCTAAACTCACATAAGCTAGGGTGAAAGGAAGGCAATCCTTTCATTGTGATAGAGTAATTAATACCTAAAGAGAGACTCTGCTTTTTTGTTAACTTTTAAGCTGCTGTAACAAACATTGACCAGTGTCTGAATGGACAACATTGAAAGCCTTTAACTGGCTTCAGAAATTGGAAAAGGCCTTTCTAGATCAAGAGAGTAGGGGAGCTGTGTGGGAGCCTACAAAGACTCACGCACAAGAACCGATGGGATTTGGACTTTATGATCCCAACTCAAAGGAACTGTCCAAGAAGCTTATTTTCAGTGTGTTTCTTATTGTTTCATCTTTTTTAGACTGTTCATCTCTTGATAACATTTAGAAATTAGCTAATAAAATAGCATTTGCCTTTTTTTTGTAGGTCAACTAAATTAGTCTCAGGATCTCTGCCCCTTTCCTCGTGGGACACTGGCCCAACTGAATTATCTGCTAGAGATACTCTGGTCTTTATCATCCACAAAGAAGAGTTAGAGACACACCCAAGGGACATACATCAAGAGATCTATCGTACTTGTCATATTAGAAAATTTCAGTGACACTTATTTAGCACCAGCTGAGAAGTTGCTCCAGAGTTTCTATTAAAAGAGGCATTGGAGGCGCGGTTTGTTTAAAAAGACAAGGTCAGGGACTGATGCAGTTATGGAGATTATGGAATGGTAGGGTGAAGCTCAGTTCCTCCTGAGCCCCCTGCTTGTGTTAACATGGTAAATATTTTCTTACTACATTGTGCTGGGCATTGTGGGAGATTAAAAAGAAATACCACAACTTGATTAAAATAAACCCTGCCTTCATGGAAATTAGAGTTCAGTCAGAGAAGACAGAAAAACTAACAGATTTAAAAGGTGAAAGATTTACACAATCTGAAGAGATACCACGGTATAAAACTAACAGATTTAAGAGGCTATTAATAAACCTAGAACAATTTTCTGAAGGCAACTAAAGAATGGGAAAACCCTACTGTAACATGATGAAAGAAGTTTAAAAAGTGCCCATAGTGTAAATACGTAGTCAACATCATTGCCAGATAAAGTAATGAGGCTGGTCTGTGCAGCTGATGGACAGGAAGGTTCAGGCCCGACCACATCATTTAAATCCCTCCTGGTCTCAGATACAATTCGTGCCACTTGACAGCCTTTGGGTCCTCTGGTTAAATATCAGTGGCGATGACTCCGGGTCTTGGCCCTGGCTAGACTTTCAGGGCAGCTGCAAGGGCTATAGGAATTCCTGGGTTGCTTGGTAAGCTCATTTCTTCAGCCCAGTGCAGGGAAATCAACCTAAGAGATTCCTGGAGACATGGACATGCTCCCTTCATGTCCCTGTTTCCTATGACAGGGTTGCCTGCAGTCTCTCCACCCAGTCTTGCTCCCTCATTCTGCATGTCTTCACTCTAGAAAATGAGAATTTTGTCTGCCCTGCTCCATTTCAAAAGTGGGATTGGCACAGATGAAGACACTTTCCAGTTTCCAATTGCGTTGTATCTGACTTTAAATTATCCTGGGGCATGATTATCAAGGGATTTTTCTGTAATAATGTTCTCTTTAAGTTGAAGGAAATGAAAGTACTGCCCTGAGGATAAAGAATTAACTTATAATTATTGTACAAGGTGGACATGTGTGAATAATGATAACTAAGGGTTATTGAATCTTTATGCCAGGCATTGTTTTAAGCAATGTATTTGTGCTATCTCATTTATTCTCCACATTGGCCCAAGAAAGCCTGCACTGTCATTATCTTTATTTTAGAGATGTGGAAATTTTAGGTATAAAAGATAAAGTCATTTGCCCAAGAGCACATAGCTACTAAGTGGCAAAGTTGGGAATATGAATTCAAGCCAGACTTATTCCAGAGACCATGTTTTTAACCACAATGTTATTTTAAAGTGAAAGACTAAAGGTTACCATTTTTTTGTTGTGTTGTGCTTTTGTTTTATATTATGGTCAGATTCACAGCTGGACTATAATAATTAGAATTTCACTAGCTAGCTTTACATGAAGAGAATGCTATTAGGGTAGGGAAATCCTGCAAACACTTGGATTTTGTATTTCTTCCAAAGAAATTTTGATTTGATTTCTAATCCTAGACACCTATATTTTCACCAAGCCATTTTGCAACCTTGTTCTAAGGAAATCTCTTTCCATAGAATTTTCCATTTTTGTCTCTTATTTTCTTCCCTTTTCCATTTAAATGTGCTCATGTCTACTACACCTTGGAAAAAACCGTAGTGTCTACTCTTAACTATACCTACTTTCTCCAGTTTTTTAAAAAGGCTTATTTCTCACTTCCACTCCCACGTTCACTTCACTTCCTTAAGGTTTGTCTCTT